TTGCTTAATTTGCAACTTTACAGCTCAAATTATTGTCTGTGGTCATTGACAGAATACATTGTATTGAACCCAGAACATTCTTCAAAACTATATAAAGTACACAAAAAGAAAACTGAAGCCAAGTTTAAATTAAATCTTTTTAATTCGATAACATGTTTTGAATGAACAATTTATTAACATTTCTACACAATACATAAGGATTACAGTGCAACCACTGGCACACTGTCTCTCGTCTGGTCAGAAGCACGTAGATGGTGAATATGATATTAATAGGACAGCGATGGCCCCTCTTTACCAGTTCCAGAAGAACAAGCGGCTGCCGTGCTTGGATGGCTGTAGCTCAGCCTGAATTGGAGTATTGGGCTCAGGTCTTGGTCTTGAAAGGTAGGGGTTTTCAGGCAAGGGCCGAGAGGTTGCCACCTTGGTCACCTGTCAAAGGTGAGGTCAAACGTTTAAAGTACAGGATATGGACCAGGAGACTAAACAGACATCGAAACCGCTTCGAATATAAATTGGTTGATTTTAAAATAACAAAGCAACGGATATATTGACCCACTTTGGACAGGTCTCCCAGCTCTGGCCTCTCCCAGCCCAGCTTCTCCAGCACACAGTTATCAAACTCCTTCTGCTGCTTGCGGCAATGGCGCAGCTCAGCCAGGTTAGAGTAATCCAGACAGGTCCAGTACTCTGTGAAGGACTCGGCACAGTTCCCCTTTATCTGCCTGAGGGTCAAGCAATATATGTAAAAAAATAAAATAAATTAATTACATGCTAACAGTGGGGTTTACACTGTGTCCTAACCAGCCATAATGAATCATGGCATACCTGAAAAGCAAAGTAAAACACATACCTGATATCCACATGACACGATGCTTCTTTAGACAGCAACTTTTTTTGTTGTTGTTCTTGTTGCATTTGTTGTAAAATATCATGAAAATGATTCCTGCTTTTATAACTGGTTTTGTAAATGTTTTTAACCCTCAAAATGTGTTGTGGTCATTTTTGACCAGGAGAGGGTTTTCATTTTCCCGAAAATGCCAGTTAAATGGATAGTTCACCCAAAAATAAAAATGTAGTCATCATTTGCTCACCTTCCACCTTGTTCCAAATCTGTATGAGTTTCTTTCTTCTGTTGTACACAAAAGAAGATATTTTGAAGAATGTTGGTAACCAAATATTTGCTGGTCACAATTGACTTCCATAGTATTTTTTTCCCCCATACAGTCTTCAAAGTATCTTTGGTGTTCAACAGAAGAAAGAAACTCATACAAGTTCGGAACAACATGAGGTGAATAAATATTGACAAAATGTTTTGGGTGAACAATCACTTTAAATGTTATCGCATTGGTCTAAAACTTAATGACTCTGTTCACACAGGGTACAACAACTTCCCAACTTTTTTGATATTTTTTAGAACTTCCCCCCACATTGTTATACTTCCCAGTGTTCCTGTTAAAAAATAACCCACCTACACAAATTGCTTATAAATTTCTCATTATACTATATTATTACCGAATATTGGATTCATTTTTTCCCCTTTCAATTACAGGTTTTGCACAGGTTTTGTATTTATTTTTGGAACTGATTGATCATAGGCCTCATTGATCTGAGCTTATG